TTTTTTTTTTAAAAAAAAAAAACAATATTTATGTGCTTTACGAGACAAAAATATTTTTTTAATTATATAGAATAATTTATCATTCATTTGTTGATGAAATTTGTCGAAAAGTATAATAGTTTCTATAACTAATTATCAAATTCTATTTGTTTCTTCATTATATATTACCCTCCATTCAGATGTAGAAAAAAAAAAAAATCTATACTTATATAATAAGGTATCATATTTACCAAATTTAGTATGTTGAAAAGTCAACGTAATTAATGCATTGCTATTTTTATCCATAATTTTATTAATTTAATTATATAATAAGGTATCATATTCACCTTATTTGTTCTGATTTTGTTCAATCATCTAATTGTATTTGTATTATTTCCCGTAAAATCGGTTTAACAAAAGAAACTCCATAACATCTCACAAGTAAAAAAAAAGTACGTAAAATCTTTACTAAAATAAAAAAGACTTTATTTATTATCTAATTGTATGGAAATCTGTTCTGATTTTGTTCAAACTGATTTCTATACATTCAGATTCGGATTTTCAAATAAAAATATTAACAATAATATATATCTACTACCCATTATAAATTACAAATCTCAAAATATCGAGTCATCATCTTTCTCACTGTCAACCTTGCGAACAAAAAATATCCTCAATCAGTCTTTTATTCAAAACAATGAATCAAAGACTTGGGTTAATCAAACAAGTCAATAGGTCTAATAGACCTATGATCAAAGTTCGAATTGTGAGAATGTTTTTCCAAGACTGTGACAACGCATACAAATCATATCTCGAGTTCGTTCTGCATGATAAAACTGTAAGGTAATTATTTGAATTTTTGTTTTAATTTCGAAATTTGAAACGTATATTTTAATTTTTTTATTTTCGTGTATGTATCTAGATATTTTTTTACATGTTTAGTGAAATATATTTTCGATTATTTTTTTTTTATTATATTTTCAGATTTACAATTTGGCTTATTTATTATACACTAGTACAGTACCCGTGCGATGCACGGGGATGTATAATTTTGGAGAATTCAAGAGAATAATATAATATAATATTTCGTAATCATTAGGATCGAAAGAATTATAATATAATACGTAGGAACATTTTTTAAAAAAAAAAATGATTTTTTCGTCACGAAACAATCATATATTATTAAAAACCTCCTTGTACACAACATTATGAGTTTGGTTATTGGGTAATTCCTCATTATCACAAACTAATATCTTCAACCCTCTTCTATTAGTTACACGTGAAACAACAATATATAATTGGCCGTGACTAAAAACAGGTTTCTTCAGGAACATACCAACGTGCAATAAAGATTGTCCTTGACTCTTGTTTATGGTCATGACATACGAAATCATAAGTAGAAAATATTTATTAAATGTTAACTTTCTACGAAGAATACTTACTCCGTCGCCAACCAAAGTACAATTAAATACATAATTAAAGTCAGCCCAATAAATTTGTTTGAAGTAGGCTTTTAAAAATTCAACAGGTTAAAAACAACTGGGCCGGGTACATGTTAAAAAAATTGGGCCCAATATAACAGGTTAAATAATATATGTTTAATGGATCGATCGAACGACTAATATTAGTCAATGGATACCTAACGGCCACAATTAACAAAAGCCTGGTATAAAAGCCAAAAAACCCGATTTTTGAGGGTTATTCATTTCCTAGCTTTGAGATTAATCTGCTCCACCTCTTCACCTTTCTCAATTTGTTCCCATCTTTGTTTTTTCCTTCTTTTAGTTTTTTGATTTTGTTTCTTAAATTTAAATGTTTGATTAAGCATTTAGAGGATATTGATTTCAATCTATATGGTGGAGATTTTAATCAAAAGATCGATTATATGTTTAAGGTTGTCCTGATTGGAGACTGACTGTGGGGAAATCCCAGTTGCTCGCCAGATTCGCGAGGAACGAATACAAATATCTAGTTTTTATACAAAAAAAATGAAAGAGAATAACAAATCTCTACCCAATAAATCAACCGATTTATTACCCTATTCAAAATTGTTGGACAATTACTATTTTTTAGGACACTTTTAATGAAATTGGCAGGTAAATACATCTAGATAATTGGTGGATAAATTTTGTAGATAAAATTGGCGGGAAATGCTAAAATGGTTATTCTTTTACAACTAATCAGATATTAATTTTCTTATATATCGAGATAAGACTGTGTATTGTTGGAGTTTAAATCAATATTTATCACAATACCGAGCTTTGAGGGAAGTTATCACAATGTATATGGCTACATAATGTTTGATGAAATCGCGTCTTATATTTGTATTATTATTCGAATTAATAAGAAAAATAGGATTCTTTACAACTAATCAGCGTATATATCGAGATGAGATAAGACTGTGTATTGTTGGAGTTTAAATCAATGTTTATCAACAATACCGAGCTTTGAGAGAAGATATCACAATGTATAAATCAGTTATTTTTTAGGACTCTTTTAATGAAATTGGCGGGTTGAAATAATTGAAGGTTGAAAGAGATCTAGAAAATAAGATAGGAATTTTTAACTAATAAAACTCTATAATTAAGTAATTCAGTAATAAAAGGATATTAGGTGCTGAATCTATAATTAAATCACGTCTTATTCTTTGTATTATTATTCGAATTAATAGAAAAAATGGGATTTTTTTACAACTAATCAGTTATTAATTTTTTTATATATCGAGATAAGATCGTGTACTGTTAGAGTTTAAATCAATGTTTATCAAATTAATTATTAATTTTTTTTATATATCGAGATAAGACGGTGTATTGTTGGAGTTTAAATCAATGTTTATCAACGATACCGAGCTTTGAGGGAAGTTATCACAATGTATATGGCTATGTAATGTTTAATGAAATCGCGTCTTATTATTTTTATTATTATTCGAATTAATAAGAAAAATGTATTCTTTACCACTAATCAGATAATAAATTTCGTATATATCGAGATAAGACTGTGTATTGTTGGAGTTTAAATCCATGTTTATCAACAATACCGAGTTTTGAGAGAAATTATCACAGTGTAAATCAGCTATTTTCTAGGACTCTTGTTAATGAAATTGGCGAATTATCTGCGGTTTTGATTATCCAAAAAAACAGGAAATAAAAAAACAAATATGACACTTAAATCAGATTTATTTTGTTTAACAAAAAAATAGGGAAAAAGAATCTGCGCCTATTTTGGAGCGAAAATAAAAAAAAAAACATATGCATTTATTGTTTCTGGCGGCAATTTTTTGCGAGAATCCTTAAAAGGTTATTCTTTTAATGTATAGATAGATATCGTGTATGTATTTAGATATTTATATTATTTATATTAATTTTCGTGTATTGTAAAATTTTTATTGAATATTACATATTATAGTATAATAATCTCAAATAAATATATCTCGTGCCTCGCACAAGTCACGTACTATATATATCCCCGTATATTTTTCTTTATTCATTTAGATAATTATAAGACGGGATAAATAACCTTAAAATTGTACACCACGTGCATCGCACGGGGCTCTGTACTAGTAAGAGAGAGAGAGAGAGAAGATCCACCCCACGAAGCAGCTTAGAAGTTTCGTCAAAAATTGTTCTTAACGTGGGATGTTATCCTTTATCTGTCCTTTTTTGCCGTGTTTCTTGTCTTCTTTTTGTTAATTAGAAAGTGATTGTTTGATCTTTTAATTTGACTATGTAGAAATGTGGTTCGGTTAACATTCATTTAGTGTGACAAATTAATGAATCTAACACCTAAAAGGAAGAGTTGATTAAACCCTAGTGTCTAAATCATAATTCTTCTCAAATTATCCTATCGATACACATCTATATGAATATGTATGTGCGTGCAATCCAACGGCTCCAATCATGGTAGTGCCCACATCAATTTTTTAATTGTTGGATCGAAACATACATTGCATACAGAGACGGATCTATAAAAAAAAAAAAATTGGGAGGAGTCAAACCAGATTGTGTTTGTTTAACTAGTGAAAATTTGATTTCATATCATTCTTATATTTAAATGAGCCAAGCTTGAACGACTATTCAACTTTCTTATTAAACAAATCGAGTAGATTGAAGTTTACACCAGTCGAGTTTGAGCTCATATTTTTACTTACTTATTAAATGGTCGAGCTAATTTGAGTCATTTATTAGACTATCACAATCTTACACGTGAGGTATTCAACTTGACCCGACACGAATAACATGTGGATGAGAACTATATAATTTTTAGTATCTCTTTCACACACACATACACACACACACACACACACATATATATATATATATATATATATATATGTGTGTGTGTGTGTGTGTAAAGTACGTTTTAAAATGGATAAAATAATTAATAACTTACACTACAAAATACATAATTTCTTAATTTTGCTAGTTTAAATACTCAACATTCTTTACACTCAAGAAACTCATTCATGAATTAAAAAATGATAAAACCCTATATATGATTCATATGTTCTTAAGCAAATGATACATCTCTTCGACAATATTTTTATCAAACTGTCAAAGTTAGAAATGATGAATTAAGACATTTAAAAATGATAGAATAAAATATAAATACAAACATAGTTAGAAATTATTTTACTTATATTGATACTTATGTGTATTAATTTTAAATAAATATATTTATAAATAATTTTTACACAATTTAAATTTATATAATATTTTCAATAAATTTTGAAAATATATATATAGGTTTGCCAAACCAAAAATATTCCGCGTGGATTAGCACACAAGAAAGAAAGCACCACCAAGTTCCCTTTTGCCTTTTTGTTCACACTCTTAATACTTTTCAAATTTATTATTATACTTTTCCGCTTGTTTTTTTCCTACACGCTACCAAACGTTTTCATCATTTCATTATACCTCCATTTTCACCTCTTTCCCCTTCATAAAACAAGATCATCACAAATTCATCAAAACCAAGCCCAGAAAAAAAAAAAAAAAAAA